GCGATGAGTGCGTTTGCGAAGAGGAGATGGTTGCGGGGTGGAGAGCTGGGAACGAGAACGGCGGACGAGAAGCGCCCCGTCTGTCTGTAGTCTATGAGACGTCTCCATAGCCAGCGAAGAGCGATCCAGCGCAGAAGGAGCGGGTGCATCGGGGCGGTAGGAAGCAGGACGACGACCTCGAGGAACGAAGAGCGCGAACCCAAACGCTCGACTTGCGAAAAGCGCTTCTTCATCGGAAAGGAGAGCTTGAGTCTCTCTGAACGATGACGATAGGACCGTGAAGAACAACTAGAAGTAGATTGCAACGCGATTTTCTCCTCCCTCAGTCCCTTGCCTGCCCTCCTCGCAAATCTTCCTGCGGCCGGCTACTCCAGCTGCGTATGTTCGAAGTCAGCAGTGAGTCGAGCATCAAAGGTATGAAAGACGCACCATACGGACGACCTGCTCGAGCTGGCGCCCGATCAGCCGGCCCAGCTCTGGTCCAATAAGCTCCCAGTCCTCGTCGTCCAAGGCCTGCAGATGCAGCGACTCTTGGCGCAGCCATGCGAGCGTGTCGGACACAATTTGGTTGCGCGAATGCGGCGTCTTGAACGTTTCGATGACCCAGCCCTTGAAATCGAGATAGAAGTCCCGCTGGCCATGGTCGTCATGCGAGTTGCCGAGTACGTAGTCAGCAATGCGAGGGAAGTCGTCGAGCCTGCACATCTCGTTATCGACGTCGTGTCTCCTGAGGTCGCCAAGCAGGATGAGGTTGAAGAGGCATGCGTAAGCGACGGGACGTGACTGCGATCGGTGCGTCGGTCGGAGCGGACATGTCGGGTCGAGGTGGATCCATATCTTGCGAACCTCAAAGAAAAGGATAGCGCCAAGGTTGGGATGCTGGAGATGGACGACGAGGTGGCCGGCTGCCGATGCAGGGTGAATGCCGAGATGAGGGATGGCGACGGATGTGCTGCAGGTCGCGCCGAGTTCAGCTGCTGGCCGAGGCTCGACTTCGAGGACATGATGGACAAGTCAATTGCTGCGCAGAGGGAGGGGGTCAGCGGCGCAGTTCGCAGCGGAGAACCTTACGAAGAGACTCACCTCCACGCTACAGAACCGGCGCCTTCTTCGCCGGACATGACGGCCGGCACAAAGAACGATTCGTCGGGCAGTTCGACTCCGTTGCGCAAGCTGCGTGTCTGTTGCAGTAGGGAAGGATTGAAGAAGTCGATGTATTCGTGCATGCGACTTCGGACGAGCCGTTTGAACTCGACGATCGAGTTGCCCGAGCCGTTCCTGCGGCTAGGCGCGTGCAGCAGGACGTCAAGCGTCTGTGGAAAGCATATCAGCCGGGATCCTCCTACTCGAAAGAGCTGAAATGTACCTGAGCAGTTGCGGGTAGTTGTATCTCATGCCAGGCCTCCTCGTGGACGGGATCGGAGGGTGCAAGCTGACCCGTGAGCCGCAGATGCGTGTGGAGGAGCGCGAGCCCGGTCGACCCTGTGCAGACAACCGCGTCAGCCGGCGACAAAGGAAATGGTAGGTTGCGTCGCTCACCGACAAAGGAGAGCTGACAAGCTGCCCAATGCGAGCTCCTGGCTGGTCCCTCCCCCTTGTGACCGGGATGGCCAACACCGAGTCCCTGCTGCCGTGCGGCATCGTTCAGGATAGACTGCATGGCGGCGGCGGCCGTCGTTTGCCCTGTCGGACCCTGGACGGATACCGTCTCTTCCAGGTCTACGTGTCCCGGTTGAGCCTGCCGCTGCGTTGACGGTCTTCCATGCAGGAGGGGCATGGCGCAAGTACCTCGGAGCCGAGTAGCAGCGGGAAAGAGACGAAGCGCGACAGGACTGCGAAGGGAGAGAGACGGAAAGTCGGTTCGCTCGCGCTCGGTCGAGCAGTCCGTGGCGTCTCCGAGACATC